TAGTGCATTTAGTGCTATATCTAAGGGTCTGGCTTTTCCATTGTGCAACTTGAGGCCTACTGCTGCAGAGGCTACCGCTAGACTAGCAATCTTAACCTGCATTAGTTGTTGTGTGGGATAGAAATGCTAGGTCAGCTGCGAAGTCCAGGTCGTCTAACTGCACCATAGCTATCCACTGTATTTTGTGTTTCTTCTGAAAAGAGCGGTGTATGAACAGTGATCCATTCCTTATAATGATGCTTCTTGCAGCCCAAGACCTGACGTCTTGAAGTTATTGTTTTTTTTACCCCTTTCCAGTTTTCCTACATGGTAGTTTCTTCGTCAAGAGTGATAGCGATAGTAGAAATATTAGCAGTAATGGAGAAGATTACAGTTCGAAGATACGATTCGATAAGTGTAGTTCAGTGAGATGAATTTAGAAGGAGAAAAATTGAGATGATGAGGAATTCAGAAGGTTAGAATCAGAGAGAACACAAAGAATGAATGCAACTGAGCCACCGCAAACGGTTTTGGGCCATGTCATATGAGGTCTCTCACTACCGATTACTATCATCTCACCTACCCCAACCAGGTAGTCCACACCTACCAACATGACTCAGTCCACTTGTCAGTGACTTCATGGATTTGTGCCATGTTTTGGTTTGGCCGCCCACAGCTTTCGTCCAACCTATTCCTACACCGAAAAATATAGCTCGTCGCGGCAGTCGGTGGTTGGGCATTCGTAACACATGTCCCAACCACCTCAACTGATGAAGTTTCACTACTTCATCTACTGATTTGCCATCCTAACCTAGAACTCGTTTCCTAACGACAGCATTGCTTACTCGGTCGTCCCACGATGCAAGAGCGATACTCCGAAGACACCGTTGATCGAAAACTAGTATGTAGAATCTATTTTGAATGTTTTGTTTTTTGGAAAATCCCTCCATGTATATATATTTGTGTTATGATATGACCGACTCTTTCTGTTGATATTTTAATACTTTATTTGATTCCATTTTGAGATTTTATCATTGTATATTGTTATTATTTCTATATCTTGTATTTCCATTTTATTGATTAATAGGTCCGTTTTCTCCCAGAATTATTGTGTTTTGGTTTTGGATCCTGGGGGAGCGCGTAACAAACTGGACCTATTCGAAACGGAGTGAACTGTTAGAGTAGAAAATCCATTTACATAGTAACCTACGAAAGCCCTCTGACCTTAACGGCCATGTTTCGCATCCGTGTAGTAGGACGGAGCGAACTACTACACAGTACACTCGTCTTCTAGTCAGGAAACGAATATCTCGCCTACGCCATAACTGACGCAGGTTGGCAAAAGCCAATCGAGCTTTCTGTATCCGTGCTGAGATTTCGTCAGTCACCAGGCCATCACCACTGAGGAGAATCCCCAGATAAGTGAATCGGTCTACGCGCTCGACTACTTCATTCCCTATCACTAGTTCAGGTGCCGATGCAACCCAGTCTTGAAGCAACACTTTGCATTTGGAAGGTGAAAACCGCATCCCGAACACGCTTGCATTGTTGCTTAGGGTAGTCAGAAGACTCTGTATTTTGTCAGTGTCTTCACCAAATAGAACCGTGTCATCGGCAAGCGATTTTCCTGGTGGAAGGTCAATCCCTGAAAAGCCGGACGAAGATAATGTTATGTCTAGGTGCATGTCTGTGACAAAATTAAACAAGAACGGGGAAAGTGGACATCCCTGACGGACACCACTTGAAACAACGAATTCCGATGACAGTTCGCCATTAGCTCTCACCCGACCTGTAGTTTTAGAGTAGAGAGCTTGTATGAGGTTAATGTACTTCTTTGGTTCACCTTTCAATGACAGACACTCCAACCAAACCTCACAATCAACAGAGTCGTATGCCACTTTTAGGTCCAGGAATACAACTATTGTAGGACGCATAAATGTGTGTCTGTGTTCCAGGACCAGTCGTAATGTGAAGATGTGGTCTATACATCCACGTCCAGGTCTTCTGAAACCAGTCTGGTTTCCTCGAGTTTGCTCTTCACGAGCACTAGTTATGCGTCTAAGTATAACTGAGGCTAACAATTTAGAAACTATATTAGTTAGACTGATTCCCCTGTGACAGTCATAAGAAGACTTGTGTCCTTTCTTATAAATTGGGAAAATCAGGGATTGAGACCAGTCAGATGGGATTGTGTCCAGTCCCCAGATTCTACCTAAGATTTCAGTTAATCTAGCTGTTAAAACTGGACCACCATCCTTGGAAATCTCAGAAGTCAATCTACCGGGTCTTGCTGCTCTCTCTCGCTTCAGATTTCCTAACGCTTTCTCTACTACATTTCAACTTCTTCAACTTGTCCTTACTCCAAGTACAGAAATGACGTAGAAGAAAGTTGTCAGCACGTCACTATGAACTACGGCATATTCCTTCAACAGTTACCAATCTATGTCTAGACCTAATTTTTCAACTAGCTACCTCATTTATGTCACTACTTTGCGTCCTGAATTACTCGATTGTACTCGAAAGTAATCTCTAACCTATATTGTATCTCTTGCAATTTATAACTTTGTTACCGCTGTTATAGATGTATCCTCCAAAGATAGGGGAACAATATACATCTACGACAGGTCATGTTTCTATGACGACATTTATATCGGGACTTACTAATTCACAATGAAGCCTAGCTCAGACGTGAAGGATTATAGCGATCGTCCATTAAACCTGTCAGGAGCTGGTGACTTTCTATGTCTGAGGTTAACAAGCGATTCATTAACATCCGTACTTCCATGTACCGGTCCTGTAGCAATTATGTCAGTGATATGGTTCTGGGAAGTAGTTTTAGTATTATATTTATAGTTAACCGTGCTAAAATTGTGTGGTAACTTCTCAGATTTGGCCAAATCTAATTCAGCCTGTGTGTTTGTATTTTAATGCAACATTTGTGGAAGAATTTCATTACTACGACAGTGTGAACTAAGGTTTTCACCTTTTCTAGCACGGTGGAATTAGTGGTTTCATACGTTCGATCGGGAGTAATATCTTATCTGAGAGCACTATGGTCCAAGTAGATGGTTTACTTCTCAACGGAAATCAGCCTATCTGAGTGCATAATGTCACTTAGTGATTACAGGATGAGAAGCTAAAGATTTCATCATTGGAGAATGCATTTCCTAGGGCACAATTTTTCGCAGAACCATAGCGAGGTTTATGAGTGTTTAGTCGGGCTCATCAATTTTTAGTGGTGATCGAGTCGAGATTGACTATGATCACCACTAAATACTTATTACTGCCTCGTCATACTGAATACAAATGAATCCAGGGTAAAGAATATATTTGAAGGAGAAAGTGGGCGAGCGGCAAGTTATGAAGGATGGCAGCAACGCGAAAACAGGTCACGTGTAAGTAAGTGTTTTTAGTACAGTTAAACAAAAGGAGTACAATAAAAAATGCTTCCTTTTCATTAATTAAGTTTCCTTCGTAGAAGTGTTCCCCTACAAGTGGTTGGCGAAAGGTCTGTGCACAGTTTACGGAATCATCTCAAGAAGTAGTTACACTGTAAGTTATTTTGTGATCTTAGCACATAACAGTAATTCCTTTCTATATCATGGCACTACGGTTGATTCGAATCCCGAATTCAGTAAGTTCAATTAGGCTGACGGAGTTCTTTCCGAATGCAATACTGTTTCGTACGTCATTACTAGAATGTAATACAAAATTCCAGTAGTAGTTAATATGACGTATTTTCATCAAGGAAAAGTCTCCGCGATTCATCACATTGACAACTTCGAATGTCGATTTGGATAAAACAAGAAAAATTTTGTGTAGGGCATTTTTTTTAAAAATGGGGAAATTTTTACGTTACTAAGCTATTTGTGAAAACGCACTAAAACGTTACGTTTAACTAGTGATATTAAAATCATCAGACGGCAAAAGGATTTAAAATTACGACGGTAAAAAATTGGGGAGACGAAAGTTATGAATAAGCAGATGTACACCAACAAAATCAGCTTCAGCTTGAGGAACTTAGGTAAAATACATGTGATTAAGTATTTCTGAAAACCGAATCAAAGAGCAATTAATGTGAACTTAAATCCTGATCGTAAGCCTTAGTAGAGATATTTTCAAGAGAAAATTGAATGGCTTCAAGTAAACTTGGTCAAATGGACACAAATTAGCTCGTCAGCTCAGAATAGCTAACAAAAGAAACATTGTACATAGAAACTATTGAATTTAGCACGTTGACCTGCGGTTGGTGGAAATTTCGAGTATCAGTCTACGCGTGTTTAAGCAAAAGTGGTTTGAAGATGGGATTTGGTCTTGTTGCTATTGCATATATATTGGCACTCATTTTCACGATTGCCCTTATCTTCCTCGTTATTTTCCAAGTAATGTGGTTCGAATAATATTGGCATTCTGAAGGTTATTTCATTTGACGAACTTCGAACAGATTACAAAAATCCGATTGACCAATGCAAATCGCTCAATCCGGTACCACTCTATTTCTGCTTTATTTCATTTAGCTCGTACTTCCTGAATATGCACTCCATGCTACGTACACCTTATTGTTCATGTTTACAGCCCAAATCGGAACTGTCTTGCTAAACGTACCACTATTGGCATATAACATTTACAGGTTAGTCTATGTTAGCGCTTTCTATTGTCTTAGGTACAAAAACCGTCCAGTTATGTCATGTCCTGGATTGTATGATCCTACTACAATCATGAATCACGATGAGCTAAGCAGAGCTATGAAGGAAGGCTGGGTGAAGCTTGCTTTTTTTATCATATCATTTTTCTATTACTTATATGGGTATGTTCTTTTAAAGTATTATAAATCCTTTTAGAATGATTTATGTACTTGTCACCGACTGAAGAATCGCTGCTTCCAGTTATTTCAGAAATGAAGGTTCATAGTTTGAACCTTTTCAATTGTGTATAATAATTTAAATATAATCTTCCGTTTCATACCTCTTTCTTTTTCACCCGTCTTACTTCTGTCGTTAAATTTTAATATGTAAATTTCAGAATGTCTTTACTGTGTTCCTTATCAAACGAGGTGCCTGAGCACCCAGTGGTTAGTCCGCGTTCTGGTCATATTTTTGAAAGACGGTTGATAGAAAAATATCTTGCAGAAAATGGAACTGACCCAATCGATCAACAACCTTTGGCAGCTGAGGAGCTCATTGATGTCAAAACATCAACTTTTGTTCGTCCTAAACCTCCATCCGCAACATCGATTCCCGCCATATTAAAGACCCTACAGGTATTAAGAACTTAATGAGTAATTTTTTGTTAGGATGAGTGGGATGCAGTTATGCTGCAGTCATTTACACTTCGACAACAGTTACAGACGGCTAGGCAGGAGTTATCACATGCTCTGTACCAGCATGATGCCGCTTGTCGTGTTATCGCTAGGTGAGTTAAATGAAGATTTTCATTCAGTGTGAGTTAAGTGTCTTGCTTATTATTTTTATACTGCTGTTGAAACAGTTGGGATTCCGTCTCGTGATGTCGGTTGCTAGCGCATTCTTAGAATATACAGTTAGTTATGTCCTACTATTTGGTTGTTTATATGAATTCTTGTCCAGTTTTTGTCTTAAAGTTGATTGACTTTCCGATTATTACCATAAAAACAGCTCTGATCCGGTGTTTTTTCTCCCTGGTTACCAGTATGGTTTATCTACAAATTTGTGCTAACTCGCTATTCAGATCTGGATTTGTCTCATCAGTCCTATTTGTCACGGTCTCGGAAAGATACACAGAATATGGTGTTGAGTAACTTCTCTATCACACTGAAAGGTCATCTGATAAAATGCTGTCATCAAGAGCTGGATAAAGCTAGAAGCATCCATCAGCTTCTAACTGACTCGCCTCATATTATCATCAGCGGTACACAGCGTATGATTTTTATTTTACACTGGGTCCCTTGGCTGACAGGTGCAACAAAGATAACTGAATAGAAGTGGTGGTAAACTAGCTCGGTGGGTGCAGTTTGTCTAAGAATGTAAGCACGTGAGCAAATGTTGACTGATGATGACTATGTTGAAAGCACTCAAACAGTACTATACGTAAGACGCGGCTCGTTCAGTATCTATCGCAAAAATTCACATGTCTAACAAAAAGCTGGATTGGTCGTAGATTTAAAGGTGGGTGTTTTAAGTATTAGATGTAACTGTACATGCCAGCATATGATGTTTTGTTAGTTTATCCGAAACTATAAATACGATAACTAGCACCTGTGGTTGTCCGTCTCTAATAACTCAAAAAATGTTTCAAATGCACGGCAGTTAACTGTTAATGGCCAAGGTGCAACAATATCCCGATCAAATTTGCATCAATATGCGTGCTTGAATGTTTCAGAGTATAGGGACTTATAAAACTATTTACCGTGAACATAAAATTGAATTCGCTGTAGTTTTAATTCAGAATTATTTAGGAATATAAGTCGTTAGTATCGTTTTTATTGTTAGAGTTTTGCATTAAAAAAGTCAGCTCCAGACTTACTTCCGTAAGATAATTTAAAAGAAGTCTTTTTTTAACATACTGTCAATCATAGCATCCAATAATCTACTTAAGCGTTTGATCATTATTGTGTAGTACAGGTATTTTGAATATCGTGCGTATTTGGCGTTAACAAATGTAGTCAAGGTTAAGTATTGAATGTTATTTGAGTTATAATATATATTTCTACAACTTAAGTTTTATGTTTGAAATTATATTCTTAAATTGTTGGAGTGGTATTTCATTTTAAATTTTCACAATGTACAAATAATGAGTTTACTAACCAGTAAAAACGGGTTTATAGGCTAACAAAAGAAGTAACAGCTGCACGTGAAGCTTTGGCTACATTAAAACCACAAGCTGGCATAATACAACCAGCTCAAATGAATGTGCAAAATGTTAATTCAACCCATCAACCTCCTCCAAGCGCAACCCCACCAATTCCTCAACCCTCGGACACGAGTGACAATTCAACTACTGTAGATTCAAACCAAGTAAGAATGTAATGATCTCGTAGTTCATCTCTTTTATAGTATCATTTATATTTCGAGGTTTATTCTGAGAATATTCCTCCAATGTTCTCTTATACCTTTGTTAAGTTATTCGATACCCGACCCAACTACCTTTATTGCCTAGTATTTTTCAGACAGTTAACTTCACTCAACTAGAACCCAAAATCAAAACACAGCTTGAACTTGTGCGTAACTGTATTCCATATAAACTGATGTAAGAGTGAATCATTGTAGAAAAGACAAACATATTTTACATAAAAAGATTCTAATCTTCTCCAGTTATTCACTTGCGCTGATTGGCTAAGAACGGGCAAAGCAGCGTGCTCCAATATAATCTTGGATTGAACATGATTAAACCCAATCTATGTCCTGCTAATGTAATCTTTATATATTTTTATGCACGTAAATAAATATGACTAGACCGTAGTTTCGAAGAATTCCTCAGACTCGCATTGTCGTGTATTGTTGACAAAAATAACCTTTTAGAGGATTTCAGGACAAAACTTTTCTTTATGTGATGTCGCTGATGATATGAACACTATCCATTAATAAAATTTATTTAATTGGTGTTAAGCTAGTGTCGTTTGTCTTCCGAATTATACTATTATGTACAGGTAAATATTTCATAAAAGTGATTGATGTCACAGTAGTTGTTTTGTAGTAATCACCGTCTGGAGTAAGAATAACATCGAATAATATCTTCCTCTGGTTTCTTCAACTTTGTAAACTTTTTCCACTGAATCATACTTATTGAATAATATCTTCTAATCCTAACCTCTCCGATTACTTCTAATACCCTTACTAACTCTTCTACTATTGGATTTGAATTGAAAATTTCATCTTTGTGCTGATGTGGTATGGCGACATGAACTGATGTACTTACGTACGAAGTTCTACGTTGCAACTGACTGACTGACTACCTGGTTGGGGTCCGCGAGATGATAGTAATCGGTAGTGAGAGACCTCATATGACATGGCCCAAAACCGTTTGCGGTGGCGCAGGTGAATTCATTCTTTGTATTCTCTCAAACCGTAAACTTTTTAATACTTCATCACTTTATCTATTTCTCTAGATTCTACTTCTTGAATAATATCTCCTAATCCTTACCGCTTTGACTACTGCTAATACCTTTTCTACCTCTACTTCTATTGGATTTGAATTAACAATTACATCTCTATGCTGATGTGATACGGCAACATGAACTGATGTACGTTCGTACGAAGTTCTACGTTGCTATTGATTGATTGGTTGATTGACATCAACAATATCAACATGCTATCCATCGAGGTTGACATGAACTTTCAAATCTATCTGGGGAATCATATTTTTGTCTTGTTAGTTTATGCCTTAGTTCCTTTATAAATCTGCTATGTCATCGAATGATATTGTTAAAATTACAGCATTTTTCTCATATTTTGTAGACCAAGAGTTTTCTTGGGCTTTTAAATCGTTATCAATGTTTGAAATCTCATTTTTCTGTTAACACCCACTGGTTCTTAACTTAGTCTGTCCGCTTCACTACGTGATATTTTACTTTTTGCTTTATGTTGATGGTCTAAATATCTTTTATCTGTTGTTACACTGTAATCATTATCCAAAGAATTTCTAGGGAACAGGGCTTTCATAGTAATTTAACCTGTAGTGAACATTAGTGATTTGGATTATTATGGTTTGGTTCCAGATTCATTCGATAAACAAATAAATTTTCTATTCTTAATTTTCGGTTAAGAACAAATCATTTCGAAATAAATGTCAAATATTTATCACGTGATTAATAGTTACTTATTCATAAACATAGCTTTGTACATCGGTTTCAAGTTCATCATTTTTCATGACCATATAGTACGTTTCTTTTAAGGTAGCTTTTACGATAATTTCAGTTTTATGTGCAGTTGTTCTGTTAAATTTCAATACTGTTTAATTCCTTGAAGCTGCAAGAAGAGATTGGTATTAGCGAAGATGTTATCAATACTTTACAAGAACGAGCTAGTCAGCTTACTGCAGAGCGAAAACGACGTGGAAAAACAGTACCAGAAGGATTAGCTAGATCTCGAGCTATTTCTGAATATCAGCAATTGGCTAATCATGTAGGCCTTCATTCTGCCAGCATGCCTGGAATTAATTGTCTTGACATCAGCAAAACATCCCCTGAGAGAATTGTGACTGGGGGTAACGATAAAACTGCTGTGGTGTTTGATCTTTCTACAGCACAAGTAAGTTCTCCCTACGTTTTGGTTTTGTTTGCTTTGTTTTATATAAGTTTAAAAAAATATGTATGAAGAAGATTATTTTGTAACTAAAGATTAAAAACGGAGGTGCATCCATGAAAATCTGATTGTTTATCTGATATTGTGATTTCGCACAATATGAAGTGTAATGATGCTATTCTTGGCTGTCAAAGTTTCATTAAATGGTCAATTTTTAGAAGTTTAGTCATTAATTGATTGTCCTAACCTCCGAACAGTAGCTCCAATTCAAATTATTTGGCTATTAATAGTTTTTTATTCATGTTGATATTTATCTTTCAATTCGATCGCCTAAAATAGCTGTTTTCCTGTTAGAAGTAGTCGTTTTCAGTATTCATTTTTTTGAATTTGTTGATTATCTCTCTCACAACTAATAATTCCAACTGTATCCACAAAACCTGATCAAGAGGTTTATGATTATAGCTTAGATTTGTGTTGACATTAATATTTATTGCTACAAGTAGAATACTTACAATACTGTTGAAGCTGTAACATTTTGAAGAATACACTCTTGTCACCTCAAGGATACTATGCACTTTCCCGACTAAGTTTCTAATTCCTCTCTACAAACTGAACTCTCTTCAAATTGCTGAAATCAACTGCTAAGAAGCAAGTGATAGTTATTACACGATCATAATCCTGCTTACTATTTTTATATTTTTCAATTTCTCAGTTTCATTGGTATGTTAAAAAATATTATGATTTAGAACCAATAACTAAAGCATCAAGCATTTATGTGAGAAGCATCAGCTATCGCAGTTTAATTACATGTGTTATTTTAGAATTTTTGTACTGTGTATTTCAGGGATTCCTGTGTTAGACTTATAGAGCTGATTTAGCCTAACACTACTGACTGATTTTAGTCTTATCAAGCCAAATGGATCAATGTTCTGTCCTCAGCTAGGTTTGTATTTTTTTAAAATATGGCTTTGGCATTTTATTTTTTTCTGTTTGTTTTTTTTCTGTGTTATTTCCTTCAAAATTCTATCAATCCGCTTGTAATGCTTTTCCTAACGCCCTGCTATGTTTCCATCTTAAAGGTCATATCTATTCTCAAAGGACATGGCAAAAAAGTTACACAGGTTGTTTATCATCCTTCTGAAGAATTAGTGTTCACAGGTTCTCCTGACACAACTTTGAGGGTTTGGGGTGTAGAACAAGGTCAGTGTGCAAGTATAATTCGTGCGCACAAGGGGCCTGTAACTGGCTTAAGTATTCATGCAACTGGAGATTATTTGCTTTCTTGCAGCTCAGATGGTCAATGGGCATTCAGTGATTTGCGACACGGACGCGTTTTGGTTAGGATTTCCGCTGTGGATAAGTCTGGAAGTATCCAAGGTTTGTTTTCAGTGTTATCTGAGTTTTTATATACGCGAATTTTCATCATATAACTATAAAGCACTATGGATTAGCAGTACCGAAATTTAATGCATAAAAGTGCGTTTGTCAATCAGCAATGAGAACAGGGATATTTAATCCATCTTGCATTTAGTGTGTTTTGTCCCAATTTTAAATAAGTATGATTTACTGTCTTATCCAACTTTGTATAAATAATCCGTAATAGTTGTGCAGCATCATCAACAGCAACGCTGAACTTTGCACGTGAGTACAGCAGTAATAGTTGTGTAATTTGGTTTGTATACAAAGTATTTCTGAAAGCTGTCACTGTTATTTTTATTATTTCGGTTAAAGATAATTCTATGTAGTTTATGCTAATCCAGGGAAACGATAATTATTATGAATATCTCATGGAAACGTTACATTTATAGAATACATGTGTTTTTATGTAGAAATTTGTTTTGTGTAATTCAGAATTTCCAAAGTATTTGAGTTACATATATTGCATATTTCACCTGTAAGCTTGGGCGCTAGTTTGTTTCTATTCTTAATTAAAGTGTATTATAAACCTGCACTTCGGCTTTAGAACATTTGTATTTAGTTAACGGTTAGTCCATGCGCTGTCACTTTCCCAATATTGTTGATATGCTTCTGAAAATTTTACCACTACAATAAAAGCAATTTCAATCAAACCATTTAGCTCAGAAAACTGAACAACTCTAAAATCATTCGCTTAAACTTCAAATCTCCATTATTTTAGTTTATACTATAATCCATACCAGTTGTAATGAGTAAAATATTTAGTATAATAGGATTCCGATTTGTGCCTTTGTGGTGATTTCAGCACTTACATGCGCTCAGTTTCACCCAGACGGTCTTATTCTCGGTACTGGTACCGCCGATGGAGAGGTGAAGATCTGGGATGTAAAGGAACGGCGCAACGTCGCAAATTTCGCACATGGTTCCGGTGCTAACCAACCAGTTACAGCTGTCGCTTTTTCTGAGAATGGATATTACCTGGCTACAAGTGGTGGCGATAGTCAAGTAAAGCTCTGGGATCTGCGGAAATTAAAGAACTTTAAAACTTTGGTAGGTAATTTTTTGTCCTTTTTGTACCTGTATTCTAATTTATCTTTCAGTTATAATTTTCTTAATAGGGCTAACTGCATAACTTCCCCTGTTCATCTTAGTTAGAATTATAATTCCATTATTGACAATTGGTGGGTCTCATCTAATCCTCTGGCAAAATATATCTTTTTCCTTGCTTCTTGAATTTACATCCTCTACCTCATCAAATTTATATCTTTGAGAGAAGTGTTGCATTGAAAAATTTAGAATGATATACATTAAAACCTGAAACACCTGTGAAACCTGAAACCTGTGAAACACGATAACTAAATTAGGTGTAATGAATTTGGCATTTGCAAACTTTTATATTGCCTAGCTATTGTCGTCGTATTATCCGGCCCATAGTTTATCAACGATTGTGGTCCTTAATTTTTGGGTATAGATGATTTAGTCAATACACACAAATTCAATAGCTGGTAATCAACTGGTTTAATAAGCTTAATTTTTTCAGGATGTAATAACGTCCTTATATTCTTAGTAAAATTGTCGTTTTCTGTATAATGAATTATTCTTAAATATTAGTAGTGATTACTTCTGTGTTTGGATTTCTGTTTGAAGACCATCTAAAATTGTATATAATTAAATAGATATTAGTTATAAGTTTCATGTTTAGGCCGTCTTTTAATTTCAGCTAAAAACTTATTTGCGAATTAATCAACATAGTTTAAACTATTTCATAATGTGTATCTGTGGTTCAAAAGTATATACTATATTATAGATTCCTGGTGAAGATCAGCCATCTTACGAAATATGCGATGTGGAATTCGACCAATCTGGTTCATACCTTGCTGTTGCTGGTACTGATGTACGTGTGTACTTGTGCAAACAGTGGGATCAATTAATTTCATTCAATGCACACACAGCACCTGCAACTGGAGTTCGTTTTGGTGAGAATGCAACTACGGTTATTTCCGCCAGTCGTGATCGCTCAGTAAAAGTATTTGGTACATAAATTACTCATGATCTTACTTGCAGTTTCCGCGGTTCTGCATTTTTTTGGTTAAAATCCGTATTACGAATGTCATTGTATTATGTTTTTATAAAATATTTGTGTATTCGCGCTTTATACTTCTTTATTTCTAATGATTATGATCCTAACTACTTCGGCTGGCAGCAAGTGGTGTGTTGTGACCTATCATTAGACCAAGCTTGTCAGACCTCCGCCAGGAGCCCTTCTGAGGCTACTGCCGGTCCCGAGCATGGATAAAGAAAGAGTTGGGAATAGGTTTAGAGACCTCATCCTGTAGAAAACTAACTCGCTAGCCAGCTTGTCTGGCTCACTACTTTTGCTGAGCTAAATAGGTGGCTGATGTGGCCATTGGATATTCTACTGTCATCGCTGAATGTAAATTTTCCGCCTCTATAACCCTATCAGTTTATCTAAAATATTGATTAAGACATGATTATTTGGGAGTAAAGCGTACGAATAACTACGTGGTATGCATAATATATGAACTTAATAGATCAGTTGGGTTTTCATTTGGTTTGACGACTAAATTTTCAATTAATGTCTGGTTGCGAACTGCATGTTAGAAAATCATTCAGATGGAGAGGTCGGTTTTATATGCGGATGAAGACCTCAACCGAGGCAACGAATTTATGAACTGTTGATGATTATAATCTGATTGCATAATTGTTGATTAACTGGACCATCGTAAGCTTTCCATTATTGCTTACCATAGCACTTACTGTTTGTGTTTTGTTGGTAGTTTATTGTTTACAGTCTGTCTTACTCAACGTCACTTTTAGCTCGTTTGTAGTTGTTAGTTTTCATTTGTTGCTGAGATGTGGTATGGTTTTGTAGTTATATGAAGAAATGAAATGTGTTAGGAATTCTTGGACTGGTGGTTATTGATCCTCGTCCTTCCTCTTCGATTGTGATAAGTTCGGCCGTCCTTCGAGCATAGAGTGACAAGTCACTCTTCCTTGTTGAACATTAGTCTTTCAAAGGTCATCTGTGAATTGGTTAGTTGAAGGGCATAACATAGGTTTTCAGTTTTCCAAAGACTGTAGTTGAAGTAAACGAAAAGCACACAATCATGTTTAAAATATCAGGCATACTTTACTTGATACTAAGTGGATTTGCCTGAAGCATTACTTCTGGGTAGCAGGATCGTAATCTGAATTCTGAAAACCGATTCAACTCTGTCATAATTACATTGTTATACTTTCACAATTGACGATATGCTGGCTGTCAAGAAGCTGTAACTCCTAGATTTCACGTGTATTTATGAAACAGTGTTGTTAACAGATGAAACATTCATTTAAATCATGAGCATGATTTTATACTATGGTTTCTATATATATCCTTAAGAACAACTTATTTCTCATTAGTGACTCTAAGAAAACATCACTTGATTTTTCAGAATCGTGTCCCATTCAGTGCTTGCAAATTTACTGTTTCCTAAGATTTTAATAAGCGATATTTTCGAACTGATTGCGGATAGTAACTACAAAGGTTAGTGCCACCTGTTGACCTCACGTTTGATCGAATAAAAAAGGATACTAGAATGCCGAATTTAGTTCTCATTTGGAGTCTGCATCGCCTTATTGGTGTCTATGAATATAATCGGGCCGCGTTACTTACTTGCATGTAATGTAATTTATTGCAATTCTTCATATTGCAACGGCAACTAAACTGGGGTCTTCCCTATCCAATTGGACGTCAGTAGTATTTTGTCTTTCATAGAATGACTTAAGTTGGTTTACGGTGAAAACTGTTTGTAAGCCTTTTTCACCAGAAGTATGCTACATGGACGACTCTACCAATCCTTAATAACTGTTCATAACGTATTTGCAAGTGAGAAGGGTATGTTTTGCAGGGGCAGTATCCGACTGAAAGGTTACAAAGCATTCTTGCCCTTTTTACTATGTGGTTGAGTGAATTTCGCGGGATAATGTAAATTTACTTGAGATCTAATACCATTCCGTATCCTCACAACCTCAGTATATCGATATCTCAGTGTTCACTTTGTGTCCTCCACCAAGCAACTACGGTTCATCTAGTGCGTGAGCAATGCATTTAAGAGCGTATTTTACACTGAGGACTTCATTTTATGCATAGACTCAGTCTGCTTGCTTCAGTGAGCACGTGGGGATGCGCTACAGATAGCTCTAAAGGATTTAATTCCTTGTCAATCAGTCAGCTACAAACTCTACCGGTAAACGTGACCAAATTAGTCATAATTGAATTTCAAGTGAAAATTATACTCTTATATGCGGCATTCTTTTGATGGCAAACTTTGTGTTGTTGTTTCATATCAGAGGTGGTCATTTTTTGGCTATCTATTTATCGACATTGCTAAGTGATCTTGCTTTAGCTTGAAGTTAGGACGCGATGTTCTCCATGCAGATGGATGAGTCCAAAGGTCGTACGAAGGTTAAGAAAGAATAACAGATTCTACATTACCACACTTCATGGACAGAGCATAACTATCAAAAAATCCACCATAATAATCTTTTCTTAAGGCAGTTATAGATTAATGGTGGTGGATGGAGAATCGATTGTGCATAAACACAGTCGTCAATAATTTCACCTGTCACTAGAATGTTTGATGATACATTTTTTTGCATAATGTATCGTGTACTTTATCCGGGAGACCTCTCTCCATTCTATCTTTCACACGACTTAAATATGACGAAAAGATGTCCTGCTTTTGTGTAGCCAAAGAGTTTGGATATATCATGAGAAGGTTCGTATCAACATTCGTCTTAGGACTATTTCATTTGCAGTGTTTTCATCAACCCAGACTTGGAAGTGGCGCATGAATTCGACGGTCTAATTGTTCGCATGGGCACAAAGTATTTGGATTATTCGGCCACACTTTTAAATGGTGTATAGTAGCGACATGATGGACTCAAAATGAAGCCTTGTACTTCTTTGACAAATGAAGCAGGTTGGACGGAACATATGACTCGGTATTGGATCCCCTCAGATTTAATAAAGCACATCGTAAAATAATGCTCCATTTCGGTAAATCAAAACCTCAGACCATCGTAGTCGGATTCTGGGAGTTTTGATTATATGATGATGAAATTGTTTACTTCTACAGTAGGCGAATCATACATATAATCCTGGATTTCACACTGTATCAAGTTAGACATATCGGGTTGGAAATATCAATGAATTATTAGTGGAAGGACAACGATTCAAACATTAGTACATAATATGTAATAATGATAAATGCATGTATAATTCTGTCATTAACATTAGTTTCATAGCAAAAATAATTAATCATAAATGTGAAAAGTAGAACATACGAATGTGAGAATTTATTGTCTTGTAGTGAGTTACCACTATAGTCTTTCCGCATTACATATACATCAAAGGTCAGTAACGTGGTTGAAGTAACTATTCATTCAGGTCTTGTTCAATAGCTTGATATGATAGGGAGTTTGTAATTGAGTCATACAGTTGTTTCAACATTCGAAGTGCCATAATTTGAAATATAACGTCTACATTAAGTAAAGAAGTAGACACACGACAAAGATAATATTCTAATCCCAACCGATACATACAACTAGCTCGCACCCACCTAACATACGCTGTAACATACTTATCCTAATTGTAATCATGTGCTGAGAATTTCGTTGTACGCCGATGATTATGTCTGTGAATATGGTGTGCACCTGTCATATCAGGAATATATTATGATAAAATCGTATTGAGAAAGGCTTGCCCAGTTTTCCCAAAGTAAATATAAAAAAAGGTTCTTTGTGGAGGTGCTGAAAAGCATGCATTTTCGGTTGATCTGTATTGATTTCATAATTATATAATAGTATTAGAATTATAGATGACACGCTTGACCTATGTATTATTTATAGTGAAATGTGATTCCCATGTTAATCATAAATCACTTTTGGTAAAATTTCAAATGGCTTGAACACATTGGCTATTTTGGTACTCTGTTGCAGCTTCGGTGTGTGATAGTATATCAGTTGAAGGATAAAGTATATTTCTTGTATATATGTATGATATACAATCACTTGTGAGTAAACATTAAGAAAATGGAAGCTGGTCGATAAATTGTCTTTGGGATCAAAGAAAGGGTTGTAGTGGAACGCTTCTACGAGGAAAATACGATTTGTGAAAAATAAACGTTATTTTACATCTTTTGTTTAACTCTACCAAAAACACTGCTACGTCTTCTTGCGCGCAGCGTTCTCTTCGCGTCGCTGCCATCTTTCTCTATTTGCTGCTCCCCATGTAATGCCAACGTTCTCCTTCAATAAACAACTCAGTCATGGATTTAGTTTGCTTTCATTGGTGGCGGGATATTATGGAAAAGTTAGTGGTGAGCATAGTGATTATGGTATCTGGATTCGCTCACAACAGGGTATAAAAACTTTGTAGGAGGCAGATCATTATGAGCTTACCTGACATCAGTTCAAGATTAAAGATTCGTTTCAGACATGTAGTTGACTAAGTTCGGAAATAGTATACATAGTGTGTAAATTTGTACACTTCCTAATCTAATCGTTAGCTAGTATGTGAATCATCCACCTAAGCTAAAAATTCTCTCCACCATCTCGAGAATTCGAAAGTGTCCTACAGTACAACACTGGTCTATTTTCCCGTTACCATAACAGTAGAAATATACGGAGGCAACGTATCAGCACTAATTACATGTTGAAAACGGAGGAACTGCACTACTTTCAAAGAATTCAATAACTTTCTTAAACAGAACTCTCATATTTACATCATGACAGTTCTCAAACAGAGGAAGTAATAAAAGAGGTAGACCGATGGCAGGTAGTAATTTTATGGGGATTATAAACAATAAGATCATCCTGACCAGCCTTGAAAACTTTTGAATCAGATACCGTATTCTTCGGCTTTACTGGGAAAAAGCTAAAGAATAATGTGAACTAAATAGATGGGTATTGAATTTTGCACACATTATTCCTTAAATGTTTTGTCTAACTTTCCCTCCGCATTACTGATAAAGCTCACCCAATTGAAACACATGTAGATTGCATTCTAAACGAATAAGCCGAAATTATTTGTAAACAGGTTCGAAACCTGAGTAAAATGAATAGGCTTAAATGCCAGTAAAATAATTATATCGATGTTAACAGCCGATAACCGGCTGAATGCTTTGAAAATCGTACTTCAAAATTACAATCTGGAGAATAAGCCTTTGAATAAAGTAGTGGATTTTGTATTACAGGTGTCAACTAGGCATGCCTGACGAACTATTCAACCTTAACAATACTGCATGCAACAAATAACTTAAAGTTTTTACTACTCGTGGAACATGGGGCGGCAACCGGCAATTTCGTATCAAAATTTCATTCCGTTCTTCTCGCAATGTCACAAATTCTTTTTTTGGCTATCGTTAACTTTTGGTAAAAAATATTTCTATGTTATCCTCCGCGAAATTCACCCAATGTTTCCAATTTAGAACTTGCCTCGTTACGTAAATGAATGTTTTTCACAGGTTGCTTTCGGCTCATTTTCAGAGATTTTCCAAAAATTATTGCCCCTTTGGGAGGCTGTATTTTCTCAACCATAGTAGGTTGTTATTAATGCAATTTCTAAAATAGAAAATTTCGTTAATATAACCGATTGTAACAGTGGTTGTTTTACCGAACTGCTTGTTTATTCTCACCCTCTGTAACTCCCTTTCCGGTTGCTCGTCCTCCATCATATTTCTTCTGAACTGTAACTCTTCGCCCATATACTCAAAAACGATTTCAGTAATCTTTCGATAATATTAAGTCCCCAGAAAATATACTCTATTATCTGGACTATCCCTTCTTCCCTGTTATTGGATAACGACAGGAGAAGGAGTAAAGACCAGAACGTAATTGGGTTGTTGACTTGCTCACAGTCAACCTCGCCTAGAAACCCTACTTGAGCTTGAAGGTAATAATATACGGAAAATGTCAAGCTGGTTGTTGCTAATGGTGTCTGGCTAACGGATCTAACATATTTGGAGTAAACAAGTGTCAGTAAACACACACATCTTTTTTATGGTGGCTTTCATAGTTCTCCAAGTTTCAGCCCCATACGATAGAACTGTCTTGACATTTGCATTGAAAGTTCTGACTTTTTCTGTGGTTTACAGTTGCTTTAAGGTTCAGATATCCTTTAACTGTAGAGACGTTACTCTTGCTTTATCTATCCATGTCTTTACATCTGCATCATGTCCACCTTGATTATCAATGGTAATGCCCAGGTATGTTAGGGTTGCCACATGTTACAGAGCTTCCCTGTCAAGTGTAATTCGGTTGGTGCATTTAGTGCTATATCTAAGGGTCTGGCTTTTCCATTGTGCAACTTGAGGCCTACTGCTGCAGAGGCTACCGCTAGACTAGCAATCTTAACCTGCATTAGTTGTTGTGTGGGATAGAAATGCTAGGTCAGCTGCGAAGTCCAGGTCGTCTAACTGCACCATAGCTATCCACTGTATTTTGTGTTTCTTCTGAGAAGAGGTTTTGGCGTTGTCGTAATTCAGTCAACCACCAGCAGAAAAGGAAAGGGTCAGAGTAAGAAGCCTTTCCTGATACTGGTCTTCACTCTTAATGAATATGTCATCCGCACTCTATGCATAACTTTGCACTACAGTCCAGTGTAAGAATTAGGTGGGATGGTGATAGTTTATTCTGGTATACCAGAGTATGGAATAACGTTCCGTAAATTTCTCCTGCCCAAGCTGTCAAATACTTTCGCTAAGCCGATGATATCAGTGATCAGTGGATCAAGTAATCTTGGTAAATATATATGTTGGAAATTGGATCGCTGATGCAGAGGTAATCTTGATTTTCTGTAGGTCACTCAGGGGACTAAGGCTGTTCGTAGTTGGTTTGTCAAATACTCGTCACAACGATAAGTTTACAGCACAGTTCATACATAGTCATCAGAGGCTTGTGGTATTCGCCGGCATTCGATCCTGTCCTTATACTGAATAAGCATCTAACCGAGTCGGACTGAGATGAGGTAATTCTAGATCCTCTATCATTACCTTGTTAGAATTGTCTTCCCATATGGTCTTTTGGTTGTCCCATACATTCCTTTGGGTCTAGTGATTGTGATTTTGCGTTTGGTAATATTTGCACATGCGTTCCTAGCTTCATGGGTGCTATCACAGTTCGAATCTCTTCGAAGGTTGGTTAAATCAGCACTGAAATGTTTTCTTATGTCCAGATTCGTACTGCGCTCTATGTGCACTGTTCTGGGTTTCGTTGTGTATATTGATTCAGATCTTCGTACTGATCGAAACACATGTATGCCTTTCATATCTAACTATGTTAGTTTGTTTGACCACATGGTGCTGTGTCTTTCGGAGGATTGTATTACAGTAAGTTTTTCTGTCGTTATTACCACATTTGTAAAATATCCAATCTCTAACATGAAAATTACATTGTCACATTTAGCCCCAATTACTAAGAGAAGTCGGTCCAAATGTAGCACGTTACTAAATCTTACCGGTGTCTGACGATAGTTGTATTTCTTGATCTTAATGTGATGTTCGACTTGGTTGACTGAATGATATTTTAATGGTACATTGTTTACACGCTCACCATATAAGTTCAAAAAACCTCACCAAGGGCTTACTTGAACTATTGATCAAATCAAAGCCAATGGCGTTCTGTCACCAGATTTGTTAACCGCAATTTGTATTCAGAATTACTCACTACCCACCCTATTATTTAATTTTGTTGTATTTAAGCCGCATGATACACTCGTACTATATTATCGAGCTCGAGTGAAGAAGCCATTCCATTTTGTGTCCAGTGTCGCTTACATGGCTACTAGCTATTGAAAGCTTAATGCCTACAATTTATATCCATTGATTTGACTAGTTGGGTAAGTGATGCTGTGATAAGGATAGTTGGTCGTTTGACCTGCGCTAGTCCTTGCAGGTTTTCCAGCGAAAATGAGGCTTCTGTTTCGGAGCGCCCACTAATGGGGTTGATATCACTTGTTTGGATTAGATGTTCCAGATAGCAACCCTTTGATGGCAAATCTGAATCCCTCTGAGACAGACAGACAGATACGTAAGTACATCAGTTCAGGTTGCCATACAACATCAGCACAGAGACGCAACTGTCAGTTCAAATCCAAGAGTGATAGCGATAGTAGAAGTATTAGCAGTAATGGAGAAGATTACAGTTCAAAGATACGATTCGATAAGTGTAGTTCAGTGAGATAAATTTAGAACGAGAAAGATGGAGATGATGAGGAATTCAGAAGGCTAGAATCAGAGAGAACACAAAGATTGAATGCAACTGAGCCACCGCAAACGGTTTTGGGCCATATCATATGAGGTCTCTCACTACCGATTACTATCATCTCACCTACCCCAACCAGGTAGTCCACACCTACCAACATGACTCAGTCCACTTGTCAGTGACTTCACAGTACACTCGTCCTCTAGTCAGGAAACGAATATCTCGCCTGCGCCATAACTGACGCAGGTTGGCAAAAGCCAATCGAGCTTTCTGTATCCGTGCTGAGATTTCGTCAGTCACCAGGCCATCACCACTGATGAGACTCCCCAGATACTTGAAGCGGTCTACACGCTCGACTACTTCATTCCCTATCACTAGTTCAGGTGCCGATGCAACCCAGTCTTGAAGCAACAGTTTGCATTTGGAGGGTGGAAACCGCATCCCGAACACGCTTGCAATGTTGCTTAGGGTAGTCAGAAGACTGCATTTTGTCAGCGTCTTCACCAAATAGAACCGTGTCATCGGCAAGCGATTTTCCTGGTGGAAGGTCAATCCCTGAAAAGCCGGACGAAGATAATGTTATGTCTAGGTGCATGTCTGTGACAAAATTAAACAAGAACGGGGAAAGTGGACATCCCTGACGGACACCACTTGAAACAACGAATTCCGATGACAGTTCGCCATTAGCTCTCACCCGACCTGTAGTTTTAGAGTAGAGAGCTTGTATGAGGTTAATGTACTTCTTTGGTTCACCTTTCAATGACAGACACTGCAACAGAACCTCACAATCAACAGAGTCGTATGGCGCCTCAAGGTCCAGGAAGACTACTATTGTAGGACGCATAAATGTGTGTCTGTGTTCCAGGACCAGTCGTAATGTGAAGATGTGGTCTATACATCCACGTCCAGGTCTTCTGAAACCAGTCTGGTTTCCTCGAGTTTGCTCTTCACGAGCACTACTTATGCGTCTAAGGATATCTGGGGCTAACAATTTAGAAACTATATTAGTTAGACTGATTCCCCTGTGATTGTCACAAGAAGACTTGTCCTTTCTTATAAATTGGGAAAATCAGAGATTGAGACCAGTCAGATGGGATTGTGTCCAGTCCCCAGATTCTACCTAAGATTTCGGTCAATCTATCGGGTCCTGCTGCTCTCTCTCGCTTCAGATTTCCTATAGCCTTTTAAACTTCATAAATGTTCGGAGGGCTTACGTTGATTTGTCATTCAGGATGACTGGAGATCGTGGGTAACCGAAGTCTTTCTGAATCCATCTCTGCATTTGTTCGTACACGGCTGTTGAACTTTCATACTCATTTGTTCTGAAGGGAGTGAAACAAAAAATCGTATTGAGGCTTAGATCGTTATTTAAGATATTGAATGAACAGTAATGTAACGAACTCGAATGCGGCTTCATACGTATTCGGTTTATTTCTGATGAACCAAAATGTTATGATAGCAGTCTCTGATTTCCAGAGTGGTTGCCCGCTGGATATTGGGGTGGGTCATTGAAATATATGCTGTTTCGTGTGTTCGGAACTTAAATGCAGTAGTCTGATCAGTGTTTGTTAGTAGGGTGGGTACTGAATGTCAGTGAGATCATCACAGTTGTGTGCAAAGTCAAGGTCCAGCAATGATGGTTCATGTTACAAGTCAACAGCTGTCGGTTTTGCGAAACATTTTACTGGTATGTATGGAATGATAGCTGAAAACAGGCCGCCGTCGAAACACCTACCCAAAGTTGTAAGTTTTATCTAGTTGGTGTGTGGTGCATTTCAATCTTCAACAAAGAGACAACAAATGGCCTTACTCCAAGTACAGAAATGACTTAGAACAAAGTTGTCAGCACTTCACTATGAACTACGGCATATTCCTTCAACAGTTACCAACCTATGTCTAGATTTAATTGCTCAACTAGCTACCTCATATATGTCACTATCTTGCTTCCTGAATCACTCGATTGTACTTGAAAGTAATCTGTAGCCTATATTGTATCTCTTGCAATTTATAACTTTGTTACCTCTGTTATGGATATATCCTCCAAATATTGTGGAACAATCTACATCTACGACAGGTCATGTTTCTATGACGACATTTATATCAGGACTTATTAATTCATAATGAAGCTCAGACGTTTTATTTTGCTGACTACCAGCATTTGTGTGGCATATTTTTAAGGGGTCTTGATGATCACTTACTCTACCTACACAGGTCTTGGAAGCATTGGCTTTCATAACATAAATATTCTAATGCTGGATCTTAAGGATTGTCTCGTCATTTTGCTTTCGAGTGTTTAACTCAGTCAGCACTGGATTTTCAAGTGACCAATCACATCGAATACGAATATTAAAATTGCAAGGTCCAGGGTACATATCAATTTCATAAGCTGTGTACGCTAATACAACATTTACAGTAATCATCCAGATTTTTTGGCTTATAATGAACGTGTAAATAAATGTCTGCATAATTATCTGTTTTTTGAATGATGTGATTGTGACATCAGCTAGATCTTTTGTCTGAAATCCTACCGTGCTAGATATCCTTTTGTTCGTTGGTACATTTTTTAAAACTTATGAACTCATTCTTGCCTATTATACACATGTAATCGGGAATAAATATTAAATCTTTAACACTCAACAGCCAAATACACATGTATTCCATTGGAAGTCAATGCCATATAATAAAGAAAAGGCACGTTCTGTTTCCGAATTTATTCTTCGGTGTACACGAGGTAGGTCCTTATTATGCTAGTTACTTTCTAGACAATCATCAACCTGTTCATTTACTTCCTGAAAAAGCACCATCTGGTTTTTCTGATTGCCTTTTCAAGTTTGATTACAAAATGTTTGGTTCAGTGGATAAAGTACAACCTGTAAGTGACAACATTTGTGACGTCTAATACTTTCTTTAGGTGGCACTTAAAGTTCATCGGATCTTTCCCATTAAGTTAGTAAGTTAACTATCTTTGGTTGGTTATTTCCACTATTCCACTACTCGTTTGTATAAATGGTAACTCTGAAAAATTTGTATGTGATATTTAATGGCATCAGCTGTAAAGGCAACTGAAAGCTTAGTTTATATGTCAGTCAGTTGCAAATGACAAAATATTAGTCCTTAAATAATGTAGTGATTTGAAATTATTTGTAGACAGCAAAAGGAAGATTAAAATTTGAAAATGGCGGTGTTATGTAAACATGATTTCTCAAAACATGTCCATGCTTCCTTTACATAGTTTTTCAGAAACACTTAGCTGGTATTATACGAGATTCCAACACTCGCTGTTATGTAATGTTTAATTACATTGTATACATCATCTATACCAAACAAGAAGATAAACGTATAAATGCTAAGTTTACTAATTTTCCTTACTCACCAGATTGCTTTGCACAATCTTTTCATTAGAAAGTTGACTATATTAATAGTAATGTTTAGTGATTCATTTTTTGTTTCTGTAGTATAGTAAGGCATTCAATTGTTAAATTTTCTTTTACTTTGAGAAAATGGTGTCATTAAAAAATTCTACTTTGTGTAACTATTCTCTTTGAGACTTTTTACTAGACAGATAATTTTATTAGGAACTTAACGTTAGACTATAAGCAATACTAGATTGGTAATGCTTATTTTTGATAGTTTAGTCTTTATAAATTAAGTAACCACTGTGCAAATGTGATCAGCTAATATATAGCTTATAAAATACTTCTATTCTCAGCATTATGACTGACATATTGACTTCGTTGTAGAACTATGTTTTGTATGCCTAATTTTTCTATTGCTAATACTAACTTTATTATAACTCTGATGGTATTCACTTTGTTAATTTCATCTAACAGTGCTGGTGCAGCACGAAGGCAATGGAGACTTGTAATCTGTCTTACGTTATTTGTAATTAATTGATTAATGGTCACCAATTTAGAGTGAATCAGCAGTTGATAGCATTTACAAGGCGTTCAGATGTTTCAAGAAAAATGATCAATTAATGAAGACCAACGCCTAAAAATCTCGATTGAAAACATGTCATCCATGCAAACGAAAGCTACATTAATCATCTGGTAACAGACAATATCTGTCAGTTATAGTTTGGGTAGTTGGATCTCTCAGGTGAAATATAAAAGTGGTGTGTCACGTATGCAAAAATAATGTTTCTCATTTAGAGCTGTAAAAATCATATCTAGAGGGTCTACTATTTAATGTCGGTAAGGATTTACAAGAAAAAAAATTCTTAGGGTTCAAAAAAGCTATTAGTTAAGCTTTTGGCAACTCGGCGAAGTTTGCAATGAATACACTCCTTAGTTTGAAGGTGGTGCCTCAGACTGCAAAGTATAGCTTATTCGATCTCGTTAGTTATGTCAAGCCATCTCCTGTTAAACTACTAACCAATCACACTGGTTATTGGTTGTTTAGCTTTTATGTAATTTTTGATAGGTTCATGACTATAAAACGTAGATTGTGAAATATTACTCGTTAGTACTCAAATTCAGCATGCTATTCATAATTATACCCAAATTTTTTATAGGTGGTTCATCCTGTTTCTTGGTTTATGGAGCTGTTTTGGCAGTTCTTCACTCCTTTTACATATTATCATGTCAAATATTTGACTCCGATTTGTCGAATGTCTGATGAACCTGATGACGATTTTTGTGAAAGGGTTCGCTCTGCTATTGCTGCTTCCCTTGGAGCTACACTCAGTCCAATAAATGCTGAGCACCTGGCAGATGTGAGTGCTAAATTAATCTTTTAGTTCCTGTAACGTCACTTAATAGATAGACTCAAATTACAAATACCTTTAGAACTATCTTGGTTTATCTTTATGTGACAAAAATTTTAACATTGTAATCATTCTGTGTAGGATACTTCTGTATTCATTTACTAGTGTACGGATTTTTTATGAAAGATATACTTACCTATCTAGGATGTAATAAGTACAGTGTTTGTTTCGCATATTCGCCAGTAAAACATATACATATGAATAACATGCAGAACAGATATATTTCAAATTATCTCTTATCATCTGTGCCGTGGCCTAGACTTTCTAATGTGGACGATTAAATTATGTGCAATAGGCAGTCAGATATCGTCAGTGACTTTTGAACATCAGGGTTGACTCGTAACATAGTATACAAACGTGCATATATTCTGCAAGTTCAGTGTAAGATATTATGCGTACATGGATGCTTTCTATACTTGCTTGCACTTCCATTACCCCAATAAAATGGAAGTGTTCTACCTCAGTTTGTAATAATTTGAAAAAAATACATATCTACAATAGATTGTTTATTAGCGTGTTTCGTATCTCTTGCGCAACTGGCTAAATTCATTTCACTTCACAAAAGTTATCATATTTTTCTCTATCTAGAGCTAATGTCACAATTACAGTTCAGTAAAAGCCGACTATTATGTTCTATAACTTAGTAAATATAAACATGGAATAAACTATTAGCCACATCAACTTAGTTTCTTAAGCCCCATTATATAAAGATGGCTTCGAGCCTATAATGCACCAGTTAAAAGTTGTTTATCTGATAATGTTTATTTTATCAAAATTTTTCTAATAAGTGGTTCTCTCCTAAATTAAATTTTTCGCTTTCAGTACACTGGAACGGAATCACCGATCGCTTCTCTTTCCCTCCTAAATGCACGGTCTTCAACTATGTCTAGTTTGTCCGCAACGCCACCCAGTTCCGCTTTGTCTAGAAAGCATTCAACGAGTTCGTCAAGCGAATCTTCAATCCCAAAAATATTGGAGTCTGATGGGGTTCGTCTTCGCCACTGCATTCAACCTAGCCAAAATGCTTCAAGTTTCCCTTTCGAACATCTAGTACCTCGAATTAGTGAAATACTTCGTGATACATCAGCGTCTCGAATTCGTGAAGCTCTTGGTAAGGTTTAAAATCTAGTGTAACATTGCTCTTCATCAGGTAGAAACTGTAAATTCCTTGTCTGTAACCTAATTTTTATAGCGTTTATAACACCTCGCTAATGGCTTGTGTCTGACTAGGTGTTTGATGTGTGAAGTACTCATCCATACGTATACAACTTAACTTTCGTTTTAGAATAATTTCACGTCAGCAGTAATGTATTTTTTTGTAGGGCAAATCACTTTTAGCAGCATCCGATATATAAAACATAAGAAGTCCCTACTGAATCGTAATAACAATTTGTTTTTTACACCATAAACCAAATTATTGGACTATGGTTGAAAACTTCCATCTGTGGATAAGTGTTTAAACGTTGTATGTTGCATTCTTCACTAAGGCACACAAAAAGAGAACCAGTTCATTTTGAGTACGAAGCTGAGTTAACTAAAGGCTATTAGGATTTATCACAGATACTCACCAAAGTTTCGGTGTTAATTCAAAAAATTCTGAATCTTAAAAACTTATAGAACACATGATGTCTTGGGGCCATTACGCAATTAGAGTAAGCGGCATAACTTTTCCAGTCTTTTAGGTTGTTGAGACTTTTAGCAGATTGCGTTAAGAAATACTTAGTGAACTATCTGGGAACCAGCCACGATATTTCTCTGTCCTAAAGAATAGGATACTTATTGGACGTCTCACTATAAGTGACTGGTAATTCGATCTTTGTTACGGAGTAAAAATCTACTGATGTTGGAGTAGGAACATGGTAATTTATCAAATTGGGACTACCATATAATCTACAAATTCAGAATGCTCTATTATTCATTCTGAGGTAAGGAAAGGCCTTTTACATCTCATTAGATTTGAAATTTTTGTATGATAAGGACGAGCATTCAATGTATGTAACCTTTAGTTTTAATATAGTTCTACATATATACCACATTTTTCAAGTCCAATATCAATACTATATCTGCAATTTATACATTTCTTGTTTAGTATATACTCAAGGTGACGTTGAATCAGCCATTGATTACCTTTTGGAAAATGCAAATGACTTGAATATTGAACAAGATAGTCATCACCAGGTCAACCAAACAATTTCTGTTATATCTCCTAGCAGGTTTTCAGTTGCTGCTCCACAGTTTTTACCAAACTCTAGTTCACGTCAGTTAAGCCTCAACGAACGTCGTGAAGCCCTCTTAAATCATGCGCGTCAGCTGTATCGTTCCCGCCAGCAAAATCTACATAATTCATGAAGTTACTTATTTTGCCGCTTAACAATCCTTCAGAGCCAATAAACTGTGATTCTTCTCATGTACTTTTAACCAGTAATTGCTTTCTTGTAAACTCGGATGTTAATAAGTTGAGATCGCTTCTGGTAAATCCAAATTACTTTAATCCTCAGTTTATTAGTTCCTCTTCATTGTATCATAGTAAGATATCCTTAAATTTTTCATGGTTTTACATTAATCTTTATTACCCCTATTGGGGACCGTCTGAATAATCGTTTTGCTGACGCTAATCTACAGCATTATCAGTTATTTGCTAAATCTGGAGTTTGTTACCAACTGATAGCTTAAACCATACCGCAGTAGTTAGAATAACTGGATCCAGTAAGTACTAGAAATACTTCTCAGACGTACAGTGCGAAGAAACGTGATTTACGGATAAGAAAATCGAATTTGACTTCATTTTTATCTGAGATCATGTACTAACAACAAAATTTCGTCCTTAATCATGTATATTAAGGTTCAAACAGATGGCCAAAAAGTAGAGTTCGAGATAAAATAGACGAAACATATCAAAATTACCATTTGGGCAAAACCACATTAGATACATTTCAGTTAACAGCTGGGTAGGAGAAACACATTTCAAATCTATCGCTATACCAAGTTAATGCATCATTTGACTGTGTTAGTAATGCCTGGTTAGGAGGATCGTTATACTGTACTGAGTGTTTTAAAATCACCAACATAAACAGATTGAGTTCTAGATGCTGCCTTTGGTTTGCTTTGAGATTTTCATGGAGAATGAGTAGTAAAGTAAAGGGTTACTGTACTAAAGATCTTGGCCATTCTAAACATGATCACTTACCGGACCATAACTGCTACCTTGACTTGGTGGTCGGATTTACTTGTCGTGATGACCTGACCGAGCTATATTAGCTAAAACGTATGTTCCTGCAGGTGTGGGCGAAGTCGTACTGTTGATTGTAGAAGGGTGTGACAGCAGTAAGATGTTTCCCTCGGACAACCAGCATCTGCAGAGATGCTGCCTTCTCACAAGGAAGGAAGGGGTTTGCAATTGTCGACCCTAAAATATGTCACACCTTAACTTACCTCACAGATTCCCGTCTCTGGCGGTAAGGCCCTTTGAAGAGCGCAGCTAACACTTTAAAATCTTCCTATAAAAAGGCCGTGCGTGGCCTTCCTGAAGCGATTTCCCTTGGGCTCTGCGGTTACGCTCCAAGGTCCCTAAGACCAACGCGAGTTCAATTCCATTCCAGGCTTCTAAAGAAACATTTTTCCATGGTGTAAGCAGCCGGGGAAATGACACGCCGTCATACTCGTAACAACACACAAGACCAAATAAGTTACAATCAGATCCTCCTTACACCTCTTACTTACATAACGAAACCTCACATCAGTAAGTTACAACAGTTACACATCCCTTTATCACTTGACGCCGCTGGTGCAAACAAATCGGGTACGCGAAACGTTGTCTTTTGTCTACTGAAACCACGCGCCAAACTACATATTGAAGTTCCTTATGTTCGGACCTTGTGCTAAATAGGACAACAGGTTTCCTTAGCTAGGACCCCGGAATATCGTGCCGTTGATGTATGCTGTGCCTCCAAAACGCGCATACCGGACCCGAGTAGTGTCGTTCATTTGACCTTAACATGTCAAAATAAAGAACCGTCTCGATTCACGCTTCGTGAATCTAAAAGCCCCATTACCGCTTCTCGTTGCCTCGCTGGTGTAAGTATAGAATTAAGTTGTAGGGCAGAAGTAGCTTTCTAAGACTGTCCAACTAAACGAGAGATTAAGGACTCGGAAAGATAGAGAAACTCACCGTTTCCTCTTCTTCGTGTCTGACTGCAGCTTGTATGAGGTAAAAGATGAGTTTTACGGAAAGCTTTCGAGCCTCTAAAAACAACAGAAACTTTGATGTAGTAGTACTGGGTAACTTTACTGCCTAGATAGGTAGACTAAGCGAAAAGGGAAGACACCTGGATAAAACTTATTGTGTCATGGCGACCGTCTGCTGCAGCTATGCTCAGATAATCGCTTATTTCTGGCAACTATTGACTTTAAACATGAGGATAAGCCGACCATCAAAATCGACTCAACGCTGGACCTAGCTAAAGCACATCGCTATCAGCCACTGATGGACTGCTTGTATCGGCACCTGAACTAGTGATAGGGAGTAAAGCAGTTGAGCGTGTAGAACGCTTCAATTATCTGGGGAATCTTATCAGTGCTGATGGCCAGCCTGGTAACTGACGGGATCTCGGAACGCATACAAAAGACTCGATCGCCTTTTGCCAGCCTGCGTCACTTATGGGGTAAGCGAGATATCCATTTGCTGACCGAAGGACGAGTGTATTGCGCAACAGTTCGCTCCAGCCTACTAAATAGCTGTGGAACCTGGCCAGTAAGAGTTGAGGATATTCGTAGATCACTGGTTTTCGATCATAAATGTCTTAGAAGCATTGCTCGTAGATCATTGGACCAATGAGTAAACAATCCTGTTGTTAGGAAACGGCTAGTAGGTAAGGACGGAATACTAATTGACGAAGTAGTGAATCTTCATCAGCCGAGGTGGTTGAGACATGTGTTACGAATGCCCAACCACCGACAGCCTCGACCAGCGATGTTTTTTGATGTAAGAACAGGTTGGAAGAAAGCTCGGGGCGGCCAGACCAAAACATGGCAGAAATCCATGGAGTCAGTGACAAGTGGACTGAGTCACGTCGGTAGGTATCTACTACCTGGTTGGGGTCCGCGAGATGATTATAATCGATGGCTGGAGACCTTGAGTGATATGGCTCAAAACCGTTTGCAATGACGCAGGTGCATTCACTCTTTGTGTTTATTTGGCTAGATTGTACTCCTTGAATAATATCTTCGAACCCTAATCTTTCCGACTACTGCTCATACATCTAATACTATGGTATTTGATTCGACAGTTGTATCTCTGTGTTGTGGTATGGCAACCTGGACTGATGTACGTACGAGGCTCTACTTTGTTGATGACTGACTTAAACATGATGTCGTCAGTGTTGGGAATGAAGTCTATTTTAGTTCAGTTAGGTAATTTCATTCCTTAACAAATGCGAACTGATTGGAAGTAACATTAATAATAAAGATTCCGAATATCCATTCATTTTTTATTTGCGATTCTACGTAAAGATAACCATGAGTTTGCGGATTAGTATCTCCCCAGTTACTCTTAAAACTCTACAACATATCCACTGGTTACCTGTACGGATATTAGTAGCTGTCAGGACTCACAAAAACAGATGACCATGCAGACCACAAATGTTTCCGAAGGTTCCTTGCGTGCAGTAAAGTTCTGACGTCAAGCTAGGTGAACTGAGCGAATCGGCTGCAGCCTGATTTCATCTGGGTTGAGATGCTTTACTCACGCCTAACTACTGGCTACCTGGACATCTTTCATTTGATGTTAAGTAACAATTTCTTCTCATGACCTCCCACCTAATTAGTTCTTTTCAAGATAGTAATTCAGTACCCAGTTCATTACAGTGAATACAACGGTTACTTTGACTTCGTTGATTTTGTTTCTGGCTTCTTCGCGTGTGAATGAAAAATATAGCCAAGTGACTACATGCAAGTGTAAATTCAGTGTTAATAAGTATACCTGACTATAATAATTAATTTCTAGGACTAATGAATGACAAGTAAATTTGTTCACCAATTTGCTTGATACCATCTAGTATATGCAGAAAACACGAAATTTTATTAGGAAGTCATTTACAATTTCGGTCCTTAACTTGTAATTTGAATGGCTAAATCGAGTCAACTTGTAGCAACGTTTGGACTCATTACCTAATTTTTTAAAGTATTGTTGTCTGAATATATACACTATTATTTTTGGGACTATTAGTCAAGCCGATTCTCCTGTTTCTATCATGGGAATTAGTAATCAAAAAGTGGAACAAAACTAATCCCAGCTACCACACTTCAATTAGTACGTACGTAGTAAGTATTAGAAGGCTATGAAAAAACCAAATATGGTTTCATAGATTGTCAGATTAAAAAGTGTAAATTAGGTTTGAGATAATATGTTATTCACACTTCATCTCATAAGAACTAGGACTCTATAAGTTAATAATATATACAAATAGGTTAGTCGAAACAGCTCAAACATGGTACGAAATCATTCAATAAGTTCATCATTTCGCCACGACTCCTCAACAATAGCTCGGACTTGTGTTTCATACTGGCGTTTGTCTTCTTCAAATAATTCTGCTGCTGCCGTGTTTGCTGGAGAATTGGGATTTGGGTCACCTAAAAGTGACTGTAATGAGGTTAAGATTGCTCCAATGTTATATGACGGAGACCACATATTTTGCAATATATCCAAACATATACTACCATCACTGTACACATTAGGATGAAACATTTTGGAAACAAATCGCACAATGGGTGGGACATTAGGGTAGCTTTCAGTAAACTCCATTGTCAACCGAAATATACCATCTGCAAATGCCGTACCATCCGGCCCCAAAATAATTGCATGCCATTTCATTATGTTGTCATCGAGCGGAACAGCGTATACACCAGGTGGCGGATCAAGTTGGATTTTCTTGAAGTCGTTCATAAGACGACGCCTGGCCTTTGTAGACATTTTCACTTGAACTACCAGATATCGGAACTATAGAAATTTAGAATTTTAGTTAAACGAAAGGACGGAAGTCATCTCAGTTGAACTCAACATCAGTTTATGTAGATTGAACAAACAATTCTAAATACTAAATGCACTGTGGAGTTTGTATACGCATGTGTTACTTTCAACAGAACGGCGAACTGAAAGAACATATGAGCTTACTGGCGTTGATATTGCATGCCAGAAATTTACGAATGACAGCATGTAACCATGGTTAGTGGACATTGTTAATGGCCAAGCCATCTGACATGCTCAGTAGTAATTTTGCTGCAGTTATTTACGCTACATTGTACTATCCATTAATTATTAGTTGTTGAGAAAATATCGAGACAACGAATAGCGATGCTCCTTGTGGTGGGAAGAATGATATTCAAGACCAGTGCAACTAACAGGAGCAACTCTGAGTTTCTCGTATTGTAGTTCATGTGTAAACCTGATGCCTATCCAGGTAAGATTACGGCACTAAATTTGAATTTGCAGCAATAATTGAAAAATAAGTAAAAGCCAGGTGATATGTACTGCCTTACCGGTAACGATAATAATCTGACTTAAGCTAAACCGCACTTAAAGTAAGACAGAACTACGTACCCGCTAATCTCCCATCCGTCAAGGCCAATTAAGGGTCATCAGATTAGTGTTTGGCGCCTTCCAATATCCAATATCTTTTTCACGGGCTAGTGTAAACCAATTTGATTTCTTCACGCCCGATTCTTGTTCTTTCAGTACGGTCCCAGGTATTCGGTAATGGCCAATGGATGGAGGTCTAGCCACTCGACTGTCTAATTCTAGTCAGTTGGCAACTGGTTGTGAGTTTGTATGTCTCGGGATTTGAATGAAACGTTTGTTTCAGGGCAGTAGGGTTTCTGGATACCAACAGCCGTAATATTACCAGACCGGAGTTAAGTTAGTTGCCGTGTGGAGAGTAATAAGGGTAATAAGGATAAAATTCTAGTGCTAATATGAATAAAATTTCAGAACTGAGTAATATATAGATGAATTTAGTTTGTTAATTGGTAGTGAAGATTTCGAGAGAGGACCGTGGTGTAAGCAAGGAGGATGGAACGGAGATGATAGGCGAGATAGATTAATTGAGTGATCTGAGGAGATGGCAATGATAAAAACTGGCAGGTCTCAAGATATGCATCATGAACAGCTTGTCGAAGAGGGAGAGTACGTGATTATCAAATCTCTTCACAAAGCGTACGTCTTAAACAGGGTTGAAAATAATTTCGTGGTGATAGCACCAAGCTGTCTTCGCATAAATTGAAGAGTCGCATTCGTCTTGGCTGCATCCCCTACATAGTTTGGACTGGTGTGGATGCTTTCTGTGGTTATTAAACCAAGATCGCGCTCTGAGGAGACATTAGGGAGCGGACTTCCATTGAGAGTATAGGTCGTTTGCGTCATATGACGCAGGAACTGCATGGCGTGACACTTCGGTTGGTTGAGTTTTAAACCGTTTTTCACTGCCCATTTATCAATAGATGTAAGGTCCTTTTGAAGTTCAGTCGAATCCTCTTCGCTTCTAATGGACCTTCAGATATTCGCACCGTCTGCGTAGACCGATGCCGGTGAGCTAACTGAGCCTAGCAGGTTTTTAATAAATATCAGGAAGAGAATTGGGCCTAGGATGGTCCCTCGTGGAACTTCAGATGTGGATACTCGCCAACTCGCGTGCACTCTGTTTACCTTGGTGCGAAACGTTCTAATCTCAAGGTAGTTTCTGAGCCAAGATAGGAGTGGGTCAGTGAATCCCATTTCCACAACCTTTTCGATTAGGCGTGCGTGGGGCACTGTGTCAAAGGCCTTTGCAAAATCGTGTACCGGTATTTTACAGTCCAGACTGGATGTCCAACTGTCCCATGCGATGAGAAGATTAAATACACACGACCTGCCTTTCCGAAACCCATGTTGAGCTTCATGGAGTATTTTATTCTTTTCCATGTACTCCCTGATTTGTTCGTCCACCAGTCCTTCCATAACTTTTGATAATATTGGAAGCAGTGCGACTGGTCTGGAACAGGCTGGGTCCTTTCTATCTCCTCCTTTGAAGATTGGACAGATAGTAGCTTGTTTCCATTCAGCTGGGAATTGATGTGATTCCAGTGAATACCTGAATAGGTCGCATAATCGTGAACAGAGGACTTCAGCACACTGTTGCAAGACTATAGGGGCGGATTTTGTCACAACCTGTTGACTTACCTGGGCGTAAGGATTTCAGTTTCCTTGATACCAGGTCAGGAGTGATACGGATGTTCCCTAAGCCGACAGCTGTCGTTGGTTTGGCGTAATACTCTGAACATCTGGGCGCCTGGTTTAAGTGATCAGCAAAGGTGGTGTTGAAGATCTCGGCCATTTCTAGGCTGTTGAGGTCTTCCCCGTTTGGTCCTTTTAGAGAACACAACCCCTCATTGGTAGGCTTTTTTTCGACATGAACCTAAACGGATTTTTCGGGTTTGCCTCTATTCTGGCGGCTAGCTTCGTTTGGAATCGTCTCTTGTCGCTTCGAACTTTGGTACTGCATCTGTTTCTCAATGCCAAGTAAGAAATGCGATCGGAATCCTTCACGGAGACCTTCCAATTGTGCCAGGCTTTCCTCTTCGCCTGGACTAGCCAACAACTTATTTAAATCTTGTCAATGCTACAAATATTTATTTCAATAAAATAAGCTAAACTGACAATCCAGAGGTCCTTTCCAACTGTCTCTCAATAATGATGCACTTGCCATCCAGTACCAGTGATGGTATCTGTGTAAGGTTTTATTGAAATATGGGTTGTGACGGTAAATAAATCCCTTGAAACAAAGAGATCTGTAAGGCCTTGACAACAAAGCCAACCCCATTCATTGCTGATATTTAAGGTTTATCGAAGGAGTTTATAACCTGTTATGTTTACTAGTGATGTATCTCAACTGTGGTAAATTAAAGAAGCCTATCCTCAAACATGGGTACTTAACTGCTTGACAAGCGTTAAACCACCTTTTCCATAATATCGAATCGCGACATGACTGATGGATATGCATAACACCCTAGCTAGGAGTTGCAGTTTGTATGTACATAAATGAGTGCTTTTATTCTTTTTGGCCTTTCTCGACACAGGCTCTATTAAGTTTATTCAAAAGTCTCTTTCTTTCTATTCTTGTTGAAGATGATGTACATATCCGTCTGACTCGGCAGTGTACTTAATACGATAGATAAAATTGATTTCTCACTGATCCGACATGGATAAAAGTGCAGTTGCAAACGGTCAACCAGTTGTGTGTGATGAGTACTCATGCATAGAGATACCGGCCTAATCTGTTGCATAGTTTATCACAAATACTGAGAGACATGTCAGATCAACTGATGTATTTTCCGGCACTTTGTAGTGTATAATAATAGACAGTGTTTTCATGGCTTGTCCTACTTTATATAGACAAGATAATTAACCTTTTCTACCAGAGTCACTATTCATGCACTTGACCCTGTCAATCATTCGCTAATAATTTCAGTTTTCATTGATATTCATTTGGGCGTGTTGTTTAATTCGCTTGTTTCATGTCTAGCTTTTTGTCTGACTATAAATAACTAGTCATACCTCATCGCATTAGTTGCCCTCTCTCCTCTCCACTTCGCTTCGCCTTGCTTTACAGTCTTTATCCTTATGTCTGTCTTCGTGATGTATTACATGAAACAAATCTACGCTTTTAAATATCGCTATTGCACAAGTGAGGCTCACCTATGAGATTAGATTCAAAAGTGAAACGGAAAATTTATTTCACAGCACATTTCTTTGTTCCGGTATTTTGGAGTCGGACCTCGGCCCTGGAGTCCGAAGGTATATTTGAGTGATCTTTGGTACGGTGATCATTGTGTGACTCCAGCTTTTACTTGTCGCGAGCGATGTGCAACATGGCGTACAGAATATCAGTCTGATGTAGGTGAATGAATATGCACATTCATTTACAGTGTATCCAGAAAAATTCATGAGGTCAGCAGAAATGTGGAAGACTTAAGAAAATACTTATTTTTAGATTTATTAGTCCCTACGCATCCATAACAAAATTACTCACGGTTTTTATCTCACCAATAGATGTCGGATCATTCATTCTATTTTCACCTAACTGGTAATTATTATTTTGTTTTTATTGTTTGTCAGCTTATTTGTTGACCATATATTAAAAGGTTGCATTAGATATCGCTATAATTGGCAATTTTAGAGTTCATACTTACTTATTGAAATATTCATCCAACATATTTTACTTTTATAGAAAATGAATCAGACATTTATATTCAGAAATGATTGTGGACGTAGTTTATGGTACCTGTTCTTCCACTAGGTCAGGTCAGGTACACGCATACGGATTATAATTTCCCTCTTGGATCAGCTATGCCTGATGAATATTTCCAAGCTTTTTTGTTGTTATTACTAACTTCATCTAATATATCTCACTTATTCTGTCTCTTATTATCATATCAGTTTCTTTTTAATCCTTACACTTTGGTTCGCTCAGGATATTTGAACTTTCAATTAATTAACTTATGTTATATTCGTATTTTCTGAAAACTTCATCTTTTACTTGGCATAAGCATTTCCTGTTAACCGTCCATATTTTTGCGATCAACTAATTTACTAAATGGTAATGTGATAGTCACTGCTATCCAGAAACTCTCCTGTTCTGAGACAAATTCATTTACTCAATTCACAGGACATACAGATTCATAAATAACCCCAAACTTAATAGGATTAGTGCAGTCAAGTGGTTAAACTTCCATCCACTCTACAATAACAAATAACTGGAACTGTTTCGAAACTACAAGAAGAGAGCGCACAGAAACTAATCGGTTTGTACTAGATAGTGTAAAAAGATATTTAAAATTCGAAGATTCAGCAAACGGTTACAAACGATATGAAAATTGAATGTTTTAAAGCCATATTTTCTTGGAATTAATCTCTTCAACTTGTTTTTAAAAAACAGGCTAGAAATTCACGGAAGGATGTTGAAATGTAACCAACAAAAGCCTCAGTTCCGTTGTCCTCAAAGCATAAACTTAAAATACAGAAAATAATTAAAAGTTGAATATTAACCTGCTGGCATTCAAAATTCCTTTGTTTGTTATCTTCTTTAAAATTGGTAAGACACTTGCTGAGGCATTTTATGATGAAGTAAGAGGATTTTTGTGTTTTTGTGAATTTGTTATTATTCGGACAGACATTGATAAATGTATTGATCCGTAAGTTTATTTGATAGCGCTTTATAAACTAGCGTGTATATTTGTTAAGATTAGTGAATGGAAGACAATAAGATGACATGTTTCATTAAATAATGTACATCTGTATTTAAACTTTTAACCGATGCTAAAATTTTTTTATAAAATCTCTGATGTTGCAAAGTTTGAAAACTGTAGCTTGCTATTAATCAAAATTCAGCTTTACTTTATTTTGCATTTTAACTACAATAAACCATAATAGCCTACTCTTCAGTCTACTAAGGTTATTTCTTGGTATTTTTTGTATCTATGGTTTAGTTTAATCGAGTAATCTAAGTTATCGAAAACGTTTATCAACTATTCTCACATCAAAGGCCAGTTTTCAGACTAAAACACTGAATATTGTTTAATAACAGCTT